TTTGTCATTTCACACAAAGATCTCCTTTCATCGTTTCCTGTGAAGGTCTCAATTTTTTGTTTCATGAGGACCTCTTTTCTTTTGGTTGCCTCGGCAGCGCAGGGGGCCATGTTGAGTAGTCTTTTTTTTTTTTTTTTTTTTTTAAACAAAACACAGAAGCCCCATAGATTCTGGGGGGCAGCAATCCGGTTGCTTATCACCGGCAAGCCCCATAGATTCTGGGGGGCAGCAAAGGACAAAATTTTGGAGAGTTAGGTAGGAAGGATAGCTTGGGTGGGAAATGTACGATAGTAGGGTATAGGGGTGGTAGGAGGGGTATCCAAGAAAAGGCTGGGGTGCCCTTGTTTCTCAACAGGTATTTGCTAATTACCTACGATAGGTCAAAATCAACCCTTTAGCCACTAATGACGCAGGGGTGAATATGTTTCTAAATGAGGATCTTAATAGAAGCAGCGTACGAGGCTGCCAGTGTGATTAGGAGTGCCTGTATAAGTAGCATGGTACCATTGCTCAGGTTGGCACGTGAGCATCACTTTAACTAATATGTTAGGTGTTCGAAAATTTATGACGGAGCCCCAGGTTGAGTGATTAATATCCCCAGCCCCGGGAAACATTAAGCATCAGTCTCACTGCCATATGATGTATTAATGGGACGCTGAACCCAGTTTCCAGCAGGTGCCGCTCCCCACCAATAGATGGAGCAGCCCGACAGGTAAGCCCTCAATCCTGGCGGTTCTCTTACCGCCGCCAGGATAGAGGGATATCGCAAGGGCCATTTCAAAAAAAAATAAAAATAAAAAAATAAAAATTGTGAGTGATTGCCTTGCTATATAGCTTTCCTCTTTTGTGTTGATAGCCCCAAAGTGGGGAGTACCTATTAGAATATTACAGGTTTGTGTGTAGATGCGCCTGAGGAATGTTGAGGTCATAACAGTGTGTGTTGAACTTTGCAATAGATTTTCGACTGATACTAAACTCGAAAAGCAGGCTCAGAAGACTACTAGCGCCGCCCCCCCCTGCATCCCCCTCCCCAGGTTGGCCCCCTGTCCAGTGCTTGGGTACCTTTGAGTGTTTCCCGGCTGGCTGAGATGCCACCTGAGGAGGTTTGGGATTTGAGGAGGGCGGTGGCCCTAACAGTGCCCCCCTCGTCATCGTCTCGAGCCCCACGGGTAATGCCCTCTTCTTTTCACTTCCATCGCCATGTTGAGGTTTCACTGGGTTGTTTCACGGTAGTTGGTATTCAAATAAAACAAATATATACTTGCTCAAAGTACAGTGGATGAGCAGTACAAACCCGGGCCATGTGGAGAAGCAGTATAGACTTATCATGTTAGTAAGCAGGCCATAAGTTCGAAGTGTGAGACAGTCAGATGTCCGAAAAAAAAGACAAGGAAGCGTGGGTGAGCCGCACAAGTGTGGACGTTGGTAAAGAGGTCACGAGTTCAAATTGCACTGGAATCGGATGCGGGCGTGCGTGTCACAGTGTGTGTGCATTTTTTTGGCTTTGGTTCCTAGGGCGAGAGTGGGTGGGGCCATCATCGCCACATGGCCTGCCCTGCCCTGACAGCGCTGCACCCGATCTACTTGGCACAGCATGTATGGTACCACACTAAACCCGCATTGTGCTGCAGAATACCCAATGGACATACCCCCGCTGCGATGGGGAGAAAGTGCCTCGGAAGGTCTCTGATTTTCCCTTTTTTCTTTTTTGCCTGTTTCTGATGTGGAGAGAGAGATCCCTTCTGCGGTGGGCAACTGCTTGTTATTATAGAACTCATGAAGTCATGGCCAGCTATGTAAGGTTCAGATCATCTGCCATAACTTGCACATGAAACCTGGTCAAAGGGAAGAAGCAGTGGCAGTCAGCTGGGAACACGATTGCCCCCGAAGCAAGTTTAAGCCCCCCCCAAAGCAACCACAAGTGGTTAACAGGGACCCCATCTATTCAGCTCTGCTTACAGTTCTCTGATAGGTGTGATATGAGCACCTCCTTCTATCAGACCTGCTGGGCGTTCCGGTCTATATTGGTGGAGAGCGGCACCGGCTGGAAGCTGGGTCCAGCGTCCCAAAGATCAGCAATGTAGTTCTTCCTGGAGCCATCACCTGGTTTCGACTAGGAAGAAACAGAATTGGCCAACCAAAAAGGTCCCAAAGATCAAACTTAACCCAATCTTCTCCTAGGTTGGTTGGTCTTGCAGGTCTTGAAAGGGCCCTCTCGCTGGCCTCGGCCTCTTCAGCTACTGTGTAGCCGCCCGATAGGCAGAGGTATCTTTGGTCGAGCCCCATGCTAACCACCATACCACTGCAGACCCACCAGCGAGAGCCGCTAAGGAAGGAAGAGGTCTGGAAATTCACCATCACGGTAAGGTCGGCGGTTTGCATACGTCATATGCTGAGAGCCTAGGCTACCAGCCGGGCCGCCCGGGTCCCGGTGGCCAGCCCGTGCAAGGACCAGGGAAGGTCCCAGCAAAAAAAACTAAAAAAATAAACAAAATAACAAAAATCCGAAAAAAAACTATGTTATGCAGAAAAATAAACTGAACAACTTTTGCCTCAGAGTCACATCGAAATTCTGCACCAAATTTAGGGGGGAAAATAAATTAAAAAAATATATTTTTATTTTTTTTATTTTTTTTATTGTTCTTGGCCCGGCCGGGCAAGTGACCCCGGGCCACTCTGGTAGCCTAGCTGAGAGCACAATTCCGTTGCACGTGGTGTGGGCACCGTGGGGGAAGGCTTGACGAAATGGAGAAAACAGTTTACCTTTGTCAGTTGGTTTCAGAAATGCAGAAGGGCTTATGGCTGATGCTATGAACCTGGTGCAGACCCCAGAAACACAAAGGTTGGGGGACGGGGTTTGGACGGCACAAAAAAATTACACAAACCTGATCACCCCAGAAAGAGGAAAGAGGTGATCATGCAAAAATGTGAACTCTGCACCAGGTTCATAGCATTAGCCATAAGCCCTTGTACATTTCCAAAACCAACTGACAGAGATAAATTGGAGCAAAAAAAATGTTATCCATGTGGGCAAGCTTTCCCCCACACCACGCGCAACAGAATTACGCTCTCAGTGCATGACGTATGCAAAGTTGCAAACCACCACCAGCCCCCCCCCACACCTGCTGAGAATCTCCACTGGGACAGACATAATGTGGACAAAAAACACACAAACTCTGCCCCAAGTTCACAGCATCAGCCATGAGCCCTTCACATTCTAAAACTTACTGAGAAAGACAAACTGGAGCAAAAGGATACATGTGCTTCGTATCTCTAATCTTCGGTGCAATTGCTGATGTAATGGGCACATGCTTGCTTCTGTGTACTAGTTCGCATGAAATTAGCGCAGCCAGGAAATCAATTTCTTGGTGGAAATCATCAACTTCATAATGTGTTAATAACAGCTCATGCTTTCTTAATGATATGTACGCCGCTGTGCTAGATGTTCGCAGCCACACCACTGCAACAATGTGGTGAGTACCGGACTTAATCCATGTGTTAATAACTTGTTATAATGTGTTTACTACCAGCTCAACTTTATAATGGACTCAGAGCACTGTAACCACAACACTGCAACAAAATGACTCGACCCATTACATCGGCCTTCCTGCCACCCACTGTGGAACAGAATTTGCTCCTGGGATATGACATATGCAAACCACGAGCAGCCCTGCAGCACCTGCTGAGAATCTCCGGTACTGGATTATTCTGCAATTGAAATCCAGCTCCGGTTGTCCCCCCTCCCTCCTCCCCACCACCACCACCACCACCACCACCAAAAAAGAAAAGAAGGTTGAACCCCAACCCCCTCGATCATATCATGTCCTTCAAATCAGCAAATACACAAGCAGCCCGAAGCTTACCATTTCCCTATTATCACCACATGACCTACAGGCTTACTTCACCCAAGTCGCACACACACAAACCGAAACAAAAAGCAACATACACAAGCAGCCCTGAGTTTACTCCTTCCGTTTTGATTTTGTTTTAATCATCTTTTTACATGACCTACATGCTAACTCCATCCAAGTCACACAAACACCGAAACAAAAAGCGAAAGATGGAAAAGAAGGACTATACCAAACTCTACTTCCTCAGTAAAATCTTTGAAGGATCACGCATGCGTGCACACCCATAGACACACACAAGCGCACACAGAACCCAACACACACACACACACACACACACACACACACACACACACACACACACACACACACACACACACACACACACACACACAAAAAAAAACACACACACACACACACACACACACACGGACACACACGAACCTACACACACACACACACGGACACACAAGAACCTACACACACACACACACACACACACACACACACACACACACACACACACACACACGTGTGTGCAATGTCAGAGAACACGCACATGCATATTAGTCATTTTCCGATACACATGCACGGATGCACGCACGGGCAAATCCATTTTCACATGCATGCATGTACACAACCACTCACACAATCGCGTTAGCTGGAGCCGCTGTAGGTACACAAACACTCCGGTCACGAACTACATCCTTGGGTCCAAAAGTTGATGCCATCAAGCCATGCTCACTGGAATTGAGTTCAACAAGGCTAAACAGAGGGCAAACAGAGGGCAAACCGGAAAAAAGAAACAGGAAAATCAATAAATTATCCAGGACACAAAAAATAAAAAATAAAAATTACAGGACACAAGAAATTAGAAGAACCAGAGCACAAGGAACTGAAAGAATTGACAGATGGGAAATGCTTTCTTGATCAAAATCTGAGCTCTTTCTGAAGTTCAAGCTAAATGGTCCATAGTTCAAAGCAGCTGCCCACATAGCCAGACCAGCCATTAGTAGCCCCAAATGGTTTATACACCCCCACCTCCCACGGGAAGCGCTCATCACCCTCTCCCACACGTACATTCCAGCCCCCTTCAGGGAGCACTCTCCAGTTTTCAGACGATTGCACCAGAGGGCATACTCCCAAGCCCCCTCTGTTGGGGGACTCTCAGCCCTCTTGTCGAGTGAGATACTGAGCACTCGCTCTTGTACAGAGTCATCTGATTCCGTCCTGGGCCCAAGGGCTCCTGTACACATATCTGGGGGCCAGACGGGACATCCACCATGCTTATCCTCTGTGTTGCTCTTTCCCAACGCATGCACACACATGCGCACAAAGGAAAAAGCGCACAAAAAACTGAGAGAGGGGGTTACAGTCGGCACGAATATGGGCAATTCTCACCCATAGGACTCCGAAAAAAGATCATACACGGAAAGCTGAACAGAGCAGGAAAAGAGGGAACAGCGACGAGTGAATGTACTAGTCAGAAGTGTACCAACACCTCACAACCAACCCGTAAGCAAATGCTTAGCGTAACTTCTCTACTCCCCGTTCTTGGGTTTCCTATTTAGGAACTTCATCCCACCCAGGATGAGACTGTTCCAGCACTGCTTCTACGCCCCCATACCTACATGCACCCATGTCAAGACCCACACACAGGTATACTAGCAGTCCCAGCACATGGGTTTGAGACATATTACAGGGGGACCAAGGGCTTCCCTGTGACACTTATGGCCCCCTACTTGTTCACCAATACCCATACCGATACGGTACATAAACAGGCCCATGCATGTACCCCCTCACCTGCATTCCCCTGCTAACATGCATATGGCCTCCGCTAGAAAAACCTTGAAAGCTCCGCATGTTGGAAAAAGCTACAGTGTCAGTCGTGTAGAGTCGAGAAGAATAGGAAAAGATCTGCTAATGTACATGAACGGACCTTGTGAAATCATCTATTAACTGTGGAAGAAGATGCAAGAAGTGAATACACAAAAGCCGATGGGAAAGAATGCAGAGCTGAAGAGATGGGAGGGAGGTAAGACTACAGAGATGCAAAGAGAGTAGACATGAGGGTACTGCAGCTGGTAATTTGTAGCAAGGGGCGGCATCCTCCATAATGTTGCAGTTCAGCAAGAGGTTGGTATCGCTGCTTCTTCCACTGCTAGCTAGGATGGCAAGGGCTAACCCAGCACCAGAAAAGGTCACGACTCTCTGATACAGCAGTAAACGGTGTAAAGTCCACAGCCCTGTTTCCCTTCTGTGGAAGGGGAGAGAGCGAACGACAAAGCGAGGACAAGTGCACGGCTGCCAGAGCGAGCGCGCGCGCGCACGCCAGAGAGAGAGAGAGAGAGAGAGAGAGAGAGAGAGAGAGAGAGAGAGAGAGAGAGAGAGATGGTAACTGTTTGCAGCTTCAGAGCTTGGGAATTCGAAATTTGGACCACCAAGCTTATGATCTCTAAAGTTAACGTCTAAAGCAAGTCTCGACTCTCGAGACCTTCATACTCTGAAGGATACAGACCTTCAGACACATCCAAGGTCAACATCTCAGCCTTCTAGATGCAAAAAGTTGAGATGTGAAATGGTAGCGGATAAAGCGGGAGCAGAAAGGTCCTGAAACTTAGAAGATTCATAACCCCCCTGAAACTTAGAAGATTCATAACCCCTTGAATTCAAGTCCGAAATTTGGGAGTCGACATCTGAGAAGATTCATAACTCCTTAAATTCGAGTTCCAAATTTGGGACTCGAATTCTGACGTTTGCGTTGAACCTCGAACACGTCCGAAGAGGACCGAGTTTGAAACTTCAAATTGTGAATTTGAGCCATCAAGGTTCTGGAGCAGTCCAAAGCACAATCTCAGAAGGCTCCCATCGCCCACCAATTTTGGGTTGACCGTCCCCCTACCAATGAATAATGGGCAGGTTTGCAGATCTACAGCTCCAACAACTGCCATGAAGAGCCACGCAGCTAGCTATACGCCACCAAGCCCGGACAAGTCAACGAACCAAGCCATATCCATGACTTAGTGCATCACACCTTTTTCTGCCAGTCAGATGAACCAAGTCATATCCATGATTAAGTGCATCATCACACCTTTGTCTGCCAGTCAGATCAGCAAAGAGAAAACTTGGCTATCTGTGAGAAGAGCCTCCAAAACTCAGAAGGGCAGCAAGAGCCACACCCAAGCCTGTCCCGATCGCTGTCTTCATCGCCAAGGCAGAAGCTGGAGTCAAGTAGCCCTGGTTCTGATGTACAGACTCGAATGCAGCCGCAGCTGCTGTCTCAACAGCGTTCTGCCGCCGCAGGATGGCCATGGACATTTCCTGCACAGACAGGGCAAGACAGGGTTATAACTTTTGTGAACACTCGTTAAGTCTACTCTCCGATGCTCTCACTCATTCTTCAATCTCTCCTCTCTTCATACCTTTTCTGATGAATCAATCAGTTCGGACTCAATGTTGGCATTTCATGTTGGGACTGGGAAGATTGAACTTTCAACAATCAACGTGGAGGACCACAGCAGCGCTTGATGATTTCTGTGCTTCGCAGGTTTGCGAGGCTAGTCTTTTTTTTTTTCTTTTTTTTCTTTTTCCCTCCCTTTTCCCTTTTCCCTTTTGAAGGGGCCCCATCGCATACAATCAAGATTCAAGCTCATGACCTGTTGATTAACAGTTACATGTGTTTGCCACTCAGCCACATTGGCTGGGTAGAACACTGAGAACCTGTATAAAAGCGCCCCCGTATGACTTTGAAAGCAATATAATATAATGCTGTGCGAGGATGTGGCTCCTCGGCAGGCCTAAGGGGCCCCTAATGCAAGTGTGCCCGCCCTATAAGTGAAGGCGGACCTAACAAATCACGAGAGGCCGAATGCTGTCAATTTCGTCTTTGGGGTTCAGGCAGTTGTGTCGCTTTGAGGGAACCCAGGACCCGAGCAGCAAATACTTTCCACGGCCTTCTAGGCCTTTTCTGAAATGCAGGCCCTGGGCCACATTCGCAGCAACATACACAGACAGTTGGGAGGCATAATTGAACGAGGCCCAGCAGCAGCTGAAGAGGCCCAGCTACCTGGGCCCTACCGAAAGCTTCTGGGCACAGGCCAGGCCAGACTCTTTCCTTATAGGAAGGAGTTCGCTGCCTGGCAGCTCATTCGGGCACTTGCTAGTTTGCAGGTGCTGCTGGAGTGATTGCTCGCGTGTTGCTGCTAGCAGTGGGGCAAGGTGCTGCGCACATGCGGTCGTGTAAGAAGAAGGGCGCTGCTGTGGGCAGCCCAGCTTCCATAGCTGGCTGGGCTTGGATAAACAGCAAGGCACAGCGGTGGTCTTCGGGTGTACAAACGGAAGACAAGGGAGACAGACGCGGGAGAGAGAGAGATACAGATGAGGACAATGATGTGAGGGCTCATACCTGGTATCGGCGATGGTCTGCATTGGGCGACATCTTCCTGTACTTCGGTGGCTGCTGACGTCAACAGTTGCATTGTCAATTCTTAGGCAGACAGGAGCTATGCGGGAGTAGTCTGGGCGCCGAGCGCCAAGTAGGGGGAAGGGCCTGGACTCTTATATTGGTGAAGACTAGAGTAATTTGACATTCGGTTTCAGTGTTACGATTCTCCATTGGTGTATTATTGATGCAATGCTACTTTCTGGACACTGGAACTTTCTGGCTTTCAATGTGATTGTGCGATCTGGATTCTGTCATCTCGCTACTGCTCATTTTCCTTGCAATTTGGTATCGGAGCTGGTTCGAACTGCGCCTACTGGTTCTTCGCAATAGCTGTTCGGTGCTTCGCATGTGGTGTGGGGCAGTGATAAGGCTTGGGCGTTGGACGATGGGCGGCCCAGGGTCGTGTGGGCGCGCCGGGAAGGCTATGTGGTGACATAGGGGTGTACGCTGGATGATGAGAACTCGCTGATTTGGCATTTAAGCCGAGGTGGAACTGCATTTCGCTGTTTGTTGTGCCGAGGCAAGGACCAGTCATCATAAATGCACGTCAGGTTGCCGGTGAGAAATCTGTGGTTGGGCTCTCTTCCTTATCTACCCTCTTCATTGCTTCTTACCGTGAGGAAGTGAGTTCTGTCTTGAGAGTCCTCTCAATGTGAGGTGTCGCGAGCGCTAAACCTTGAGAGTCGACATTCTTCCTGGGCAGCAAGCTGGTGGGAGACGGGCGAAGCCTCTGAAGGGCCCTGGACGAAGCACTCGGGTCACGGTCACCATGCCAACCCGCTGGGACTAGTACACGCATGCTTTGCCGCAAGTCCGTGGTTCTGCTTGCTGCGCAATAGAGGTCATGCTGGGCATGCCAGCCCTATAAGAGACCAGACCGTCTATAAATATTTCTGGCGGGTTCCGGTTGAACCCTGGCTGTGATCGTCGTCCTGTCTGCGACGTTAAATAATTCCTGAGGACCTTGGGGGCTGTCCTTAAACTGCCTCTTGATCAGCCAGATCAACCGGAAGTAAGGCTCGTTTAATGCGAGGGCAAACAAAGTGCAGGGCTGGCAGGCTTAGTATAAACTTGGGGCACAGGGGTGGGCCGGATTGCATACCTTTAGACACACTGCTCGACCAGATGCTCAGGACGCCAACACAAGTGACTACTCAAGAGGGATACAGGGGGAGGGGGGATTCCAGCAGCTGTTCACTGTGGAACAGATTATATAAACTGCCATCCAGCATGCATCTCCACAAGTAATTTATTTTTATTTTTGATTATTTAATTGTACGGACTTGGTGACAACTGACAGACAACTGCAGATAGGATAGACCAATCCTTGCTGCATTGCATTCTGTTTTAGAGTAATCTAAAAATAGAAATAGACTTACCTTTAGGACCTGACATTGATTGCTGGTTACCACTTGACTACTTTTCTCCAGGCTGACCGAATTAGTTGATTATTAGTACTCGGTTGGGTGTCATGCTGAGGTAGGAGTCGGTGTGGATTCTAGTTTAGATCACACACCACCGTAGCTCATGAGTGAAGCAGTTAGTAGTGAGGAGGAGGAACGATTAGTGGAAGACCTAAGAGTTGCCCGTAAAACTGCTCTCAATCGACCGATCACTTTCCAGGAGTTAGGTCCAGGGGAGGAAAGGAGGCTGCGGAGGGAAGCCAGGGAGCGGGTGGCATTACGAAGGTCCAGGGCAGCAGCAGCAGTCAGCATCGAGGCCGCAATGGCTACCGCCTCTGCCATGTCACAGGCCTTGTCCCAGGCCTCTTCGTCAGGTGTTAGTCCGGGTGTCTCTCAGGGTCCCGTTAGTCAGTCTGTTGGTTCGCAAGTCAGCCAGCAATATCCTCTCACGCCAGAGGATTATGAGATCCTCCACGCGGAAGCCCTTCACGATGAGTTGCAGCAGTAGTTGAGAGATGCAGCAGCGAGAAGAGAGAAAAAAATACTAAGAAAAGCTAGACTAGGAACTAGGAGGTAGGAGTTAGGAAGATTAGAAGCGTCGGACGAGTCAACACTAGATCCTGCGACTCAGGCGCTGCGTCGCTCGCTTCTTTGCGTGGCAGAAACATAGGTTGTTCCAACAGGAAGTGCTGGCTGAACTAGTGGGCTATAACCAAATTCTGGCTGCACTGCAGGCTCCTCGCCCAATGATGAGGCAGCCTCAGTATTTCGTAGCTCCCCCTTCGGTTGCGGGTCCTTCAGTGACGCCGTCACTAGTAGGGCCCTCTTTTACTCCTATGTTTGACATGCCTCCTTCAGGTGGTTTACCAGCAGTTAGTGGCCCGGTTCTTAGCACTTCTCCCGTACCATCGATGACGGTGGCAGCTACAGTCCCATCGTCAGGGCAGGCTCAAGTTAGCATGCAGCAACCTGTCTCAGTGGCTATGTAGCCACTGCAACAATCATCAGGGCCAATGGATGCCCAAGATCCCCTTGTTGAGTCCTAAACCCTTCTCTGGCGACAAGAAGAAAGAAGAGGACCTGGACACTTGGGTGAGGACTGTGCCTACTTATGTGAGGCACAAGCTTACCAGACCAGAGCAGGAAGTAATAGTTGCGGCTTCCTTTTTACAGGGCTCTGCAGCGCCATGGCTGAATGGTCTAGTGCAACAACAAGGCTATGGTCAAAATTTCGATGCCTGGGCCCAGGCCCAAACATTGGAAGACTTCGTACGAACTATGTATAATAGGTGGCATGACCCTCAAGGGCCTCAGAAGGCCACTAACGCACTGTTCAGTCTCGGTTCCAAACAGTGCCGAATAGTGCGTAAAGTCACAAACGTCGTAGAACGTTTGATCGTGGTGCCTGGTGTGCGGTATGACCCTCATGTACTCCTCACAACTTATCTAAGATGTCTGCCTACAGATGTGAAGAATAAGTTGGTGGACATGGCCTCCATCGATGTGCATAACTTCGCTACTTTCAGCAAGAAATCCTTAGATATAGAGGCTAAGCCTGGGACCGCTCATCAGGGACCAGAAGACGGTAGGAAGAAGAAGCTTCCCCAGGATTGGAGGAAGAAAGGCAATCTCATGTTTGTCGACCACGAAGGTCTGGATGGCGCTAGTGAGACTTTGGGGGGGGGGGCAGTCGTCGCGCCCATTAAAGAAAAGGCTAGGAGGACAGGGAAGCAGAAGGTAGGCCAGTCCAAGGGTCGAGGCGACCAAGGGACACCTGCATGGGCGAAACTCGGTTTAGACTACAAGGTGTGGAGGGAACGAGTTGCTAGGGGCACTTGTCTGAACTGTGGCAATTATGGCCATAAGTCCACGACTTGTCGAGGCAAGAAAATCACAACGAAGGTAGCTTCTCCTACGGTGGTAGGCCTATCTTCGAACTCTGGTGGTGCTTCTGCGAACACTTCGCAGGGAAACACCTCGGGCCAGTAGGAGTTTTAGCCGCTCTTACCCGTGCTGAAGTGGTAACGTTGCCTTCACCACTTCAAGCGTTGGCCAAGGCTATTGACCCAGTTATCACTCCGCAGACACATATAGACCCATCGATGCTCTATTCGAGAGATGCGTTTGAGTCCTTAGAAGAGTTACAGACTGAGTGGTCAGGGAAGGACCACAGGGACTCTTGGCCGAAAAGGTCCTAGGGGTGAACATTTCGTGGTAGAGGTTGATGTAGGTGGTTGTAAAGTGGGTGCCTTCGCAGACATAGGCTCTACACGAAACTGCATCAGTCGTGCTTGTGTGGATAGACTGCGCTTAGAGAATAGACTGCGCTTAGAGGACCAAGTGCATCGGTTGAGCACATTTGTAGGATCTACGCTAGCCAACAAGCACAGTATGGTTGTCCAAGACTATGTTAAGGACGTAGTCTGCACCTTCCCCTATTGAGGGGAACTGAGACACAAGATCTCGTTCCCTGTTAGTGACGAGCTGCCATTTGATATGCTGTTAGGCATTGCGGTTGCTCAACCTCAATTCGATTAGGATAAGAAGGTGATAATCCACAAGTTGCCTAATGGTAGAACTGTTAGATTGTAGAAGTGTAAAGCTAGCAATCTAGTGGAGAACTATGGTTGCATGTGTGCATCTTCTTTCTATAACTATTATAAGCAGGATCGTGAGGAGGGCAGGTACCTAGTCTTTGTCTCTGAGAAAGGGGAGGCCGTAAAATCACCCTCGGAGATAGAAGCAGTCGTTGCTCAATATCCAGACCTTTTTTAGGAGCCTAGTGGCAAGGTAGAAAGGGAGGTTGTCCATGTGATGGACGTTGTCCCCGGTAGCAAGGTACCTAGAGGACGAATCTATAGGATGTCTCCTGCTGAGTTGGATGAGCTCCACCACCAACTCAAAGAGCTCACAGAGAAGTGATGGATTCGGCCTAGTACCTCCCCTTATGGTGCACCAGTCCTATTCGTTCCGAAGAAGGGAGGTACCTTAAGAATGTGCATTGACTATAGGGGCCTCAATGTTCCTTGAGAAGGCTGGGAATAAATGACTGTGTGTGCCACATAGGGAGTCTTTGCGTAGTTTGTTTCTAGGAGAATGTCATGATGCAACTGGTCATTTCGGTTATAAGAAGACTTCAGCTAATCTATTGCAAAAATTCTAGTGGCCCTCTATGATGCAATATGCGAAGAAGTACGTTGAGACTTGCGAAGTTTGCCAACAGGACAAACCTAGGACTCAGGCTCCGCTGGGGCTTATCAAGTCCTTGCCTATTCTTGACGGTCCTGGTCAAAGTGTGTCCATGGACTTCATCGATACTCTTGTGACCAGCAAGAACGGTAAAAGACACATCTTCGTCATAGTGGACTGATTTACCAAATACGCTTAGACTGATCGCCATGCCGGAAACAACAAAAACTGACTATGGCATCAAGCTGTTTATGGATAACTGGGTACAGGACTTTGGGTTGCCCAAGTCCATCATTAGTGACAGGGACGTTAACTTCACCGGCGAACTATGGCAACGTACGGCTCAACAGATGGGCACCCGACTGCAAATGACATCAGCGAATCACCCTGAGTCAATGGCCAGGTGGAACAGATGAACCGGGTAGTGCAACACCTGCTACGGCATTACATCAAGCCAAGTCGGGATGCCTGGGACGAGAAATTACCTCTCGTCGCCAGCCTGTAAAACAACGTTGTGCATAGCACTACTGGTACTCCCAACTAACTGCATCTTGGTTGGAAGCCCAGGTCCACCTTGGATTTTCTACTACCTGAAACTCAACCGTCTGCAGTGCCTGGAAGCATAGAACTCACTGTCAAATATGAACAGATGCTGCAACGGGCTGTAGAACACATTAAGAAAGCTCAAAAGGCTATGGTGGCATATGAGAACAAGCACAGACGACCATCTCAGTTTCAGGTAGGAGAGCGAGTCTGGGTCAAGTTATCTGAACTGGGTCAAGAATTGGGAATCTCAAGAAAATTAAACCACAAGTGCACCGCCCAGGCAAAAGAAATTCATTGAAAACGACTCATTCTGAAAAGATCGGGGGTCGGGGCAGGGTCGACACACAAAAAAAAAAGAAGAAGAAACTGCAGTACAAAAAAAGAAAAAAGAAGAAACTGCAAATTGAGGAACGTCGTCCGGGAAGGCGCTGAAGAAGGTGTGCTCACATTACAACACTCAAGAACGAATCTAACCGCACCTATGGCGTGTATTAGTTTTTTTTTTTTTTCGTTGTTTTGTTTCTTCTTCTGTTTTCTTTTCGGGTCCCTGCCAGCAAGGCAGGGAGCACTGCACGGACTTCTGTCGACTTGTCAAAGAGGGCATATACTCGGATTATGTATCTGCCCTGTTTCGCGTCCATATTGTTGTTGTTTTTTTTTTTTTTTTGCTTTTTCATTTATGAAAGGAACCTCTGTGATGAACGCGAGGCAGGGAACACTGCACGGACTTCTGACAACTTCTCAAAGAGGGCATATACTCAGATTCTGTATCTAACCGGTTTCACGAACATATTGGGGCTCCTTTTTTTGTTTTGTTTTTCATTTCTGAAAGTAACGTCCGTGATGAACACGGAGCTGTAAACGCCCTCACTGAGGGCATACTCTCACACTGACCCCTGATTCTGTATCCAACTGCTTTCTCATCCGTAGCGTTGTGGCGTTTTTTTTTTAATTAGTTCTTTTTTCTTTTTCACGTTGTTCTTTTGGGAGGAGTATGAGAAAAGAAAATACAACCACACCCAGGCTCGACAAAACTCGGTGCCCAGTGAAATAAGGGTTCGTTTAAATCAGGTGCGGGTGTACTTGTGGTTTAATGCCACAGTATTTCAGTCCCTAGGAGGTACCTAGACATAGTGGGGGATCAGATCGATGGACCTTCTTATATCATTCGCATCCTTGCTCACCTACGTACATACCCAGTATTTCACGGCTCAAAGCTAGCACCTTTTGCAGAAACTGCACAGTTTCCCTCTAGACGATCAATGCTGGGCCCAACCATGGATGGCCATGTTGACATCGACGAAATCGTGGAACACCGGATGATGCCAGTGCCTAAATCTCCCCTCCAAAGCCAAGGATGCAGTACCGTGTCAGATTCAGACACCATACTGATCCCAGTGAAGATCGGTGGTTTACCAGGGAAGAACTCCAGCAAACAGCTTCCCAAGTGATTGCAGGCTACGAAAGAGGACTCAGGGAAAGATGCCTGCAGATTGGAGACTTCTCAGGAGACTATCCAAGTAAAGGAGCAGGGAATGCGAGGATGTGGCTCCTCGCCAGGCCAAGGGGCCCCTTATGCAAGTGTGCCCGCCCTAAAAGTGAAGGCGGGCCTAACAAATCACGAGAGGCCGAATGCTGTCAATTTCGTATTTGGGGTTCAGGCATTTGTGTCGCGTCAGTTGGTTGAGGGAACCCAGGACCCGAGCAGCAAACACTTTCCATGGCCTTCTAGGCCTTTTCTGAAATGCAGGCCCTGGGCCACATTTGTACCAACATACACAGACAGTTGGGAGGCGTAACTGAACGAGGCCCAGCAGCAGCAGCAGCAGAGGCCCAACTACCTGGGGTGTTACGGACTCCGCCAGGGCTCAACCCCTGGTCTATTTTGTTGATGTTTTTGCTACATCCCGATTTTGGCCTGGCACCGTTTTCCCAAACCCCTCCTTTGGTACCGTCGGATTTTGGACAACTGGCGCCATGCTACAATTCAGGCGCCACTTTCAAATACCGCATTTTTCAGTTCTGCCCTCGGGGCTTTTGCAGAGATGCCCCTGGTACCGTACGTGTCACCGACACTTATACCGGTTCCCCGTACAGTACGGGCAACCCGTCTTGTACCAGTTTCAGCTGCTGTACTCGTACTCAGTGTGACTTGCGACATAGGGAATCCAAGACTTCGACTTTGTGTCCTTGCCATTGTGTCTGCGTCCGACCCTCAGTCGTGTCGAGTGAGTGAGTGTGTGTGTGTGCTCTCACTCTCTCCCTCTCTCTCCCCTCTCCCTCGGCTCTCCCTGTCTCCCTCAGCCTCGCGCTCGTTACGCTGGTATCGGGGCGGTTCGAACCCGCCCGACCTACCCTGCTTCGTCGTCGTGCCACGTCATCATCGTCATCGTCATCGTCGTCGCCGTGCCACGTCATCATCGTCGAGAACATCGTCGCCCTGCCACGTCATCATCGTCATCGTCGAAATCGTCGTCGTCCCGCCACGTCATCGTCGTCGCCGTGCTCGTCGTCCTCGTCGTTGCGCCACGTCATCCTCGTCGTCGCCGTCGCTGTTCCACGGCGCAGATAAGTAATCGACGATAATTTTCTTTTTTTATTCTTTTTTTATTCTTTTTTTTTCCTTCTTCTTCTTCTAATTCTCTTCTTCTTCTTTCTCTTCATTCTTTCCTTCTTACCTTCTTCTTCTTCTTCTTCTTCTTCTTCTTCTTCCTGTCGCGACCCCGATCCCGCTCCCCCCCCACTCCGATCCTCCTCCCGTGCAACCTTCCCCTGCCTCGATCGTTCCCCCCTCCCCTCCCGCTTCGCGCTACCCC